GAGCAACGTTTGCAGCAACATCTGCACAAACGTGGACCTACAGCGCAGGAGCGCAACGCACGTGCGCAGCAACAAGCTCAAGCCCGAGCTCAACGTCGCGGGGGTGCAGACCCCGCAAACTGGGCGGCCTTGCTGGAAGCTCGCCAGTCCCAGTTCGACCCCTCGTCGGAAACGCAAGCAGTGCATGACAGAAACTGCGCCAGCGGGCTGCGAACATTGCAGCGGAAATTTCCGGCCATTTACGGTGAGAGTGGACGGCCCGCAGCTGACTGGCAAACCGACCTGGCCAAGACTTTTACGAACTTCGCGAAGAATTGGTCGTGGCGCATGTGCCGCCAGTGCGACCGCATGGTCCCACAGCCATTCGAGCCTAAGCATGTGCGCGCCTCCGGAAACCTCCGGCCCACCCTTCCAGCATGCGGACACTGTTCCGCCGGGGTCGGATACTGGGCGCCACGACCCTCCGACGTGCCCGAACCTTTGCGGCGGCTTCCTGAAGAGGTCCACTCGGCGCTGGCCATTCTCGACGTCTACACGGGCCCCGCCGAGCGCGCGCCCCAGGGCTACTGGGTGCACACCAGCTGCGTGCGCTTCAGCTGGAAGCCGACGTCTGTCGAAGAGCGGCTGAGTGCACTTCCTCGCGCAGTCTGGCGTTCTGGACTCGCCGCCTATACACCTGGTTGATTTCTGCGGACACCTGCCCGTACCGCGAGTTCCTCAGATCTCACACTGAATTTCTGCGGCACCGGCAACGTCTTCTGGACCATGGCGACTTGGACGCTGCGACCCCAGTGCTCTGGCTGCCGCTGCGCTTTATGGAGACGATCGGCCTGGAGTCTGCCATTTGGCCTCATCTCTATTGGGACCGCACTATGTGCGAAACGTACGTTCGCAGCATGGATGCCAGGCGCCTTGCTCGGTCGAGCAGCAAGCAGGCCGCGACGAAGATGTGGAGGGCGATGTGGACATGGTGGAGGTCGCCGATCAACCCGACAACGAGCCTGAGGACTCTGACAGTGGCTGCGAGGCAGAGCCGGCAGTGGATCCTTGCCAGGAAGGCGCCACGCGCCAAAGCGCCAAGGCCAGCTTCATCGCCAAGGTTTTCTCCTCCGTGATTGGCTATGGTACCGACCGTGTACTCGCTCACTTCGTTTATGATCTCTGGATGTGGAGCTCTCTGGGTGGGGCCCGCAACGCGGCGCCCACGGATCTTCGAGGTGCCTTGGCTGGGCGAAGCTTCTCGCCTCTCTACTG